GCTTCTGACCCGCTTCGCTCCCCGGCAGCAGGCCGCTGCGCTGCGCCACGCGCTCCGGGATCTGCCGGCTTTTCCCCCGTACAGCTTTTTCCTATCTTCTTGTGTACTTTTCCCTAGAGACCTGCCTTGCTCCCACTGCCGTCATACACCTTTTACAGTACGCAGAACGAATTTACTTCCTTTTTTTCCTGCCGTAGCTACTCCCCTAAACTGAGATTTTCGGAGCTGAATTGTCCTGGTGTTTTCAGATGCCGCTTCCCCGTTACAGGAAGGGGGTGGCCAGCCCCATGCCCGTAGTCTCAGAACGGATCAGCCTGAGAAGCTGTCACAACCCACAGTTCACTGCTGAAGCTTTTCCACTGTGTTTTGCTCTAAAATATGTAAGTAGGGGTCTAGCAAGTAGAGGGCAGTCTAACTTTATCGCTTTGCCTCTGTCTATTGAATTTGGACACTCTGCAGAACTGCTTTACTTGCGCGTTCCCAGCACGGGCTCAGGAAGGGAAGCGTTGGTTTGAAAATGCAAAGGCTTTCCCATCTTTCCTGCAGTCGCCAGCACTTGATTTCATTCCCACAGTTTCTGGACCGCTCTAACAACACACGCTATCAGTTTAACAATCTTTCTTATCTAGCTTCCCACTACACACTTCTGCTGTAACAGAAGCAGCAGCCGGCTCGAGGCGGGCAAGCCGGAGAGCGCTGCTTGCGGGTCTGCACGCTGGCAGCTCCTCAAATGCACTGCAGGGAAATTAATGGTAAACGAATACCCCCAGCCTCACGTCTGTGTTTATCGGCCCGTTGCGTATTTTACAGCTGTCTACGCAGGGCATACGTGTGGTGAGCAGTGCTGACACCAGAAAGTTTAACTCGGTCAAAAACCCTTCCTTTCTCCTTCAGTAGTTTTCTGTCCCTTCATCAGTGGCACTTGCAGCGAGCAGTATAAGCATTTGAAGTTCTGCGACTATCTGGTACGACAGAGAGCGAGTCGAACAGCCATGCAGACTCGTCTGTGAATCACACGTGCTGGGAAGAAGGAGTTGCTGACAAATACCAGATGAGCTAGCATTACCATCTCCATAAAGATTTTTTTCCCTTCCTCTTCCCAAAAATGGTATGTACAGAAAATTGCTGTGCTCTGAATATATGTTTCTGTTGTCACAAAACATAGTTTATTTAAATTTCTGCAACGTGTTGGGCTCTTGCAGAAGAATGGCATGGATAAATAGGAAAATGTAAGGTAGGTAGAAAATGCTAAGTTGTTAAATTGCGGTGAGCAATCAGAATATGGTGGGAATCCATTCCCTGATCTCTGACAGGTTCTATGCTTTTTTCTCATGTTGGAAAACACGCTAAAATAAACCTTTCCAATTTTTATGATTAGATCAGCTGCGAATCTCTTTTTCAAGAAACCATAGAATAACCAGAAGATACAGAGTTATCTGGTCTGAAGCATGTTGGAACATACCCCCTCCGGCAGCGCCTGTTAAGGGAAGAGTTTGCCAAGATGCACGAGGAAATCTATGTTGCATCAGCTGCCCTTCCTGTAGGGAAGAAGCAGCCGAGGTGCTCCAAATAATAGAAGAATCGCTGTAATCGAGTGGGTAAGGAGGGCACCTGGCATGTCCGAGGGGCTTGGGCAGAGGTCTGACAAACTTGGTCACCTGCTCGCAAGTAAAGAACTGCGTGCTCCTCTGGGCACAGAGCTTGTTCTTTTTTCTTCTTTTCTCCTTTCCCCTTGCTTCAGGTACAACGCGTCTTCTTTCCGAAGTCATGAAGCTAAAATTCCCACCCTGATCTGCAGCAAGCTAGAGAAGCTGGAGCTGCTGAGCCCCTAGCCCTCAGGTACACATCCCGGTTTTGCCTGTATTCGGGAATCACGTGTCACGGGACGGTACATGGGACTTTGGGACATGCCGCCCAGCGTCCCTCCAGCCCCGCGTTGCCGGCGCTGCTGGTGCCCGCGTGTCCTGTGCGTTTGTCCCCGCGCTGTGCGTGCTGCGCTGCAGCGTTGTTGCACGAGCCCCCGCCTGCACGCTGCTGGATCTTGCTGCTGCTCAGGGCTTTGGGCCAGAGGCACCGCTGGCATCTCTGCGCCTGCGTACGCCAGTGGTCAATTCCCCCCCGCCTCCTGCCCCCTTGTCGTTTTAGATTTTTGGATCATTTTTCAAGTCCCAAACCAATTTGGCATAATTGGAAACTGCACTCCTACACTTTCAGTCACTTGGGTCCTGATTACTTCCATCTGACTCGGTTTGTTTACTTTTTCAGGAAAGTTCTCGTAGTCCACAGAGCAGCTTCACCGCCCGGGAAAGTTCCCGTGCTTGTAGTTTCGTAGCCTGCTGCGACTGCAGGTTCCTCTGCTGGTTAACTACAGCAGAGACTTGGCAAACCCGTCGCAGAGCACAGGCTGACGCTGCTTACGCTTCCCCTTCCCAGCTGTGACTGGGGCGATAGTGTACTCATTGGCTTTTTTGAGTGATTATTTAATTAAGGATTATTTTTAAAAGTGGTTATTTCTCTTGCATGGGACTTATTTTCCCTTTTGCATCTGCCTGTGTCTCCAGGTGTCACGCGGTGTTCCCTCAGCAGGCCTGCTCTGACCCGGGGCAGAGGTGTGGAGGCTCTCGCAGCAACACCAGAGTCTAATGAACTTTTACAGCTCGTCTCTTCTGAGGAGTCTGGTGGTGCGCTGCGCCCGAGGCCATCCATCACTGCGGAAGGAGGCTGCTTCTGCACGATGACGCTAATCTGCTGACCGAAAAAGCAGACGTGCAGCGTGCTTTCCCATAAGCCGTGTCACGGTCTTCGTACCACATGCAGCCAGCTGCTGAGTAAGGGTTTGAGCCAGAGCCCACTGAGTCAGAGGGAACCTCTCCTCGGACGTCGGGCGCCTTCGGAGTCCTTCCACCGGGGCGCGATGTCTTTAAGTAGTAACTTTATACAGTGAAGGACCCTGATTTGGCTAGTAGCCTTCAGAAGAGGCTTCAGAAGATTATACCCGTCCACTTTTAAATATCCTAGCTTTGATTTTCATCATGGTTCTACTTAAGAAACCTATTAGTATCTTGTTTGCCCTGTTTTTTATCTTACTATGATTTTTTTGAATTTGTTGCCAAGACCTTTCTCATAGTTTTCAGAGACAAACCAATAGCTTTAAAGATTAATAGTCTGCCCAAATGCCTGCAGGATCTCCACAACTGAGAAAATAACTACCCATGATTTACAAATCTTTTAAAATTTAGAAGTGCATGTGGACCACAGCAAAAGAGCTTCTGCGTTAACAGAGTAGAGAACTCTTTTCAGTGTTTTTTGTAAGAATAATCTCTATACTTTTAGGACGTTGTTCTGTCTTTCTCACTAGCTCAAATGTAGGTGAATCCCTCGCTTTAGCTCTGTAGTAAGACACAATTCAGACCACTGTTTATCCTTAATTTCTAGTCAAGAAAGTTGAAGGTTTTATGTATGCTCAGCAGGTGGTGTGGCTCTCTTAGTGTTATATCAAGATTGAAAACAAATAATCTTTAAAACCATAATGAATTACCAGAATTATGTATAGTCATTGGAATTAACTGCATTGCGTAACTCGTACTATACCTCTCTGCCCAGAAATGCGTCTTGCTTTCCGGAAAGGTACTTCATCCTTCTAGGATTTTTCAAGACAAATTTTCTTAAATCAACAAAAGATGATAAACCTTAACTCCAGTGACCTCCTGCAGTTGTGCTCTCCAAGGACCTGCTTGTCTTTGGTTCCTGTGGGCTGTGTAGGGTAAAAAAGCCTACGGTGGAAAACCTCTTCAAGTCCAGCGGACATTGAAGCACTTTGGGGCTTCACGGCAGCCCCCGTACACCTCCTTTGCATTAGTCAAGCTGTTCCTTTATATTTTCCTTTGTTTCCTACCCCTTAGCATGACCTTTTGGATTCTTCCCTGTAGCTGGATCTCTTCCAGGTTAGCTTTAAATTCTGCTCTTAATTTTGCAGGGGCAACTGCCATCCAAGTCATCCCAGTCGCTGTGGGAATACGCTTGTGGTATGGTACTTGTCTGCCTACTTTGCAGCTTGCAACACTTCTAGCTGATTTAGTTGCAGCCTCTCTCTTCTCCGTTCTGTTCTTCATCAGCTGCTTGGCCGTGAGTTCTTGTTATAGCCAGCAGGTCCTGAAATTGCCTTATGGCTTTCTCTTTCAAAGACATATGTTGAACCACCGGGTATAATAAAGCAAAGCTAGCTTCATCATTACTCACTAAATAAAAATAATTCTTTGCAGTCATGTGGAAGCAGCATAATTATCCCACATTCTTCATGCAGCTGAGGACACAGGTAGCAGATAGGGTGAATAACTGTAGAGGAAAATACCTAGGAGTGATTAGAGCAGATCCTTTGAAGAATCTAAATTGCACAACACCTTACCTTTTCCAGATTAATTCTCTTCATTTTCCCCCTCTTCATCTCCTTGGCCCAGTTTTTTCTGGAGTTCCCTTCCAGAGTGGTCTCCCCGGGGGTTCGTGATGTTACCCGGCCTCCCTTGGGGAGCCCCAAGGTGGCTGCAAGCGCTGGAGTCGGGAGCTGCCGCAGGCCAGCCCTCTGCAATGACAAATGCCATCTGCCTGAGTCAGCGGCGTTCCCAACCAGCGCGAGTGCGTGATGCCGAAGGGATCAGAAAATCGCCGTTGTGGAAGCCACTGCCGGGGCAGCTCCCCTGGGAGGGGAGTAATGCGTTAGCAGAGGAGGGAATCAGTAACTCGGTCCTTCTGAGGTTAGGATAATTAACTCGATATTTTATTTCCCAGGCTAATAAACTGAAGTCTTGGTAGTTCAAAAGCATGTCATCACTGATTTTCTGGGCTGGTCCACGTGACGATCTCAGATGGGAGCTGTATGAGTAATTGAGGCTCAGTCTGAGCATGCTTATACCCCGACCCTAGAGTTAAAGGAATTACAGATGACAATAGGGTATGAAGGACGGCAATAGATACGTATCCTATGCATTCTGGTGCTATTTGAAGTATTCCCCCAGGTAGCTTCCATGCTGCCTCGCTCACAGCTTTGCCTTGATTTCGGCCTCGATGACGGGAGCGCAGCCCCGTGGGTACAGCAGGCAGCGGGGCTCCGCGCTGCGCTGCGCTGCGTGCCCGGGCAGTGCAAGGCAGCGCCGCGGGCTTCCCGCCTCCGGGAGTCGTCGCAGCCGCGCGGGGAATGCACTCACATGACTCCGTCCGCTCCCATGCGTAACACTAACTGTTTATCTTCTGGCTTGCTTGTTCTGGTTTGTTTTGCTTTGGAGGACGCTGTCTGTCCTGCTTTCACCTTGCGGTACTTGCTCGACCGCCCTCTGGTTGTGGCATACGCGCAGCCAAGCGGTCGCAGATCGCCGAGCTGGGCTCGCGCCTTCCCTTTTTGACCTGTGCCTCTTATTTCAGTCCAAGCGTCTATCTCGAGAACTTTTACAGCTCTAGGTGCTGCGTGCGCTTCAGCCCGACGTGGTTATCCTTAGCGCTCCGTGGAAAAGGCGGGCTGCTTTCACGCGCAGCTAGAGAACCGAGCTCGGGGACGGTCCCCGGGCGCACGGTTGCAGGGTCTGGCGGCGGCGGAGCGGCTGCAGCTCGTCCGGCCAAGCCAGGCGAAAGGCTCGGCCCCGTAGCTAGGTGTCTGCTCCCCTGCTGCGTCGCACCGGTCTCCTCCGGCTCCTGCTGTCGAGGGCCAAGGTGTCTGTTCTCGTCATCGGCCTACTCAAACAGCGCTTGTTTTAAATCGGATGAAGGTCTTAGTTGATCTGTTCATGTCGCTTTTGGGTATGATTTTTGCAAAATATCTTTTTCTGTTTTTATTAAGATGTGTACACACACCCGCTGTTTAGGACCCTAGCCGACTTTATGTTTCGGGGTTGAGAGGGGCTTACGCCTGTGTAAGTGAGAATACGTGACTTTTGCGTTCACTTTTATTTTAAAACATCTACAAACTAAACGCTCTCATATTTAGGCATGAGGCTGTCAGAACTCGGCGATTATTCCCAGAGGACCTGCAAGAACCTATCAGTATGGAAAATAATCAGCACTTTGGCTGATAAGGTTTCCTCTGGAGAAAGGGAGTTTGAGTGGTACACATGCTTCGATAACAGTATGTTTGCCTGTGGGGCAAAAGAAAATGCTTTTGTTGGCCACACCAAGCGCTCAGTGAACCGGCTGCCCGGGTTCTGTAAATTGGGGTGGTGGGGAGTTATTTTTAACCGGTGATGCTTGAGAATGCCAGAAAATACATATGGGAGGATGAGGAAGGGAAAGGTTAGGGAAGTCTGGTAATCAGTGTGCTCTCCCTGCATAAATAAATCACCTACTGCCTAACCCCTTTCAAAGCAGCGATTTACCCCCAGTCCCACCAAGTGTGCTCTGGGGAGTAGAAGAATGTCTCTAAATATTAAATGTATATTAACACTGAAAAATAGAGATGTAGGAGAAAGAAAAAACATCTTGACAAATT